TTCGATGATGAAGTACGGGATTTAATACTTTGTCTTCTCTACCAAAAAGCTGGAATGCTACAGTCACAACTGTGAGTAGCTCATCGGGAAGCAATAAGTTGAGATTTGATGATGTCCAAAATTTGGTTCTCAGTGAAGAGATCCGGCGGAGGGAGTCAGGTGAACCATCAACCTCTTCTGTATTGCATACAGAGTCGAGAGAAAAAAGTTCAACCAAAGAAAGCAGACATATCAAATCAAAGGGAAGAAGATCCAGGTCCAGAAATCATCGTGGTTCCCAAAACTCAAAGTCGATCGAGTGCTGGAATTGTGGGAAGACCGGGCACTACAGAAACCAGTGCAAGAGTGCACCGAAGGGCCAGGAGACAAAAGAAGAGGCAAATATTGCCTCAGTCTCAGGAGGAGACACGCTGATATGTTCTTTGAAGAACAGAGAAGAGTCTTGGGTGTTAGATTCTGGAGCATCCTTTCATGCTACCTCACAGAAGGAACTATTCGAGAATTATGTTCATGGAAATCTTGGTAAAGTTTACCTTAGTAATGAGCAATCATGTGAGGTTGTCGGCAAAGGTGCAGTAAAAATCAAGTTGAACGGGTCTGTTTGGGAATTGAAAAATGTCAGACATATTCCCGACCTAACGAAGAATTTAATCTCCGTGGGCCAGCTAGCCAGTGAAGGCTACACGACAATCTTCCATGGTGATGATTGGAAGATTTCAAAGGGTGCGATGACAATTGCTCGAGGCAAAAAGAGTGGTACTCTTTACAAGACCACAGGAGCATGTCATCTTATTGCAGTTGCAAAAAATGAAAGTCCCAATCTATGGCACCAAAGACTTGGGCATATGAGTGAAAAAGGGATGAAGATCATTCACTCAAAAGGAAAATTACCCGGCCTCCAGTCAATAGAAATTGACATGTGTGAAGGCTGTATACTTGGAAAGCAGAAGAGAGTCAGCTTTCAGAGAAGTAGAAGAACCCCAAAGAAGGAGAAGCTTGAGCTCGTCCACTCCGATGTTTGGGGTCCAACGACTGTCCCATCCGTTAGTGGGAAGCAATATTTCGTGACTTTTATCGATGATCACTCCAGAAAGGTATGAGTTTACTTTCTGAAACACAAGTCAGAAGTATTTGAAGCTTTCAAGATTTGGAAAGCTATGGTGGAAAATGAGACAGGCTTGAAGATCAAGAAGTTCAGATCCGACAATGGTGGTGAATACGTAACCACCAGGTTCAAGAAGTTTTGCTATGAGCACGGGATCAGAATGGAGAGAACCGTGCCTGGTACGCCTCAACACAATGGTGTAGCTGAGCGTATGAATCGAACGTTGACTGAAAGAGCCAGAAGCTTGCGTGTGCAGTCAGGCCTACCAAAGAAGTTCTGGGCAGAAGCAGTCAACACAACAACTTACTTGATCAACCGAAGTCCATCGGTACCATTGGATCACAAGTTACCAGAAGAAGTATGGAGCGGAAAAGAAGTAAAACTCTCACATCTTAGAGTTTTCGGGTGTGTAGCATATGTACACATCAGTGATCAAGGTAGAAACAAACTTGATCCAAAATCAAAGAAATGTACTTTCCTTGGCTATGGTGAAGATGAGTTTGGCTACCGTTTATGGGATGATGAAACCAAAAAGATGATCCGCAGCAGAGATGTCATCTTTAATGAAAGAGTGATGTACAAGGACCGGCATAACACAAGTGCCAGCAACTCAGAAGCGAGTGGGCCAGTTTATGCAGAGGTGGAAGATATCCCAGACATTCCTGTAATAAGGAATCCTCGGTCAGAGGAATCAAATGAAGAAAGCGGTGAGCAATCAGAACCTTCTACTCCAACTCCTGTATTGAGAAGGTCCTCTCGGCCCCATGTACCTAACAGGAGATACATGGACTACATGTTGTTGACCGATGGAGGAGAACCTGAAGATTATAAGGAGGCTTATCAAACCCCAGATGCTAGCAAGTGGGAGCTTGCCATGAAGGACGAGATGAAGTCCTTGATCTAAAATCAAACATGGGAACTAGTGAAGTTACCCATGGGAAAGAAAGCACTTCACAACAAATGGGTGTATCGGGTGAAGGAAGACCATGATGGTTCTAGGAGATACAAAGCCCGACTGGTTGTCAAAGGATTTCAGCAGAAAGAAGGAGTTGACTATACTGAAATCTTTGCTCCAGTTGTAAAGCTCAATACTATCAGGACTGTGTTAAGTATTATGGCTAGTGAAGAGCTCTACCTAGAGCAATTAGACGTGAAGACTGCATTTCTTCACGGTGACCTAGATGAGGAGATCTATATGCACCAGCCTGAAGGTTTTTCAGACGGAAAGAAGGATATGGTGTGCAGATTGAAGAAGAGCTTGTACGGCCTGAAACAAGCTCCAAGACAGTGGTATAGGAAGTTTGAGAGCATCATGCACAAGGAAGGTTTCCAGAAGTGCAATGCTGATCACTGTTGTTTCTTCAAGAAATATGAGTCCAGCTATATCATATTGCTACTTTATGTCGATGACATGTTAGTAGCAGGATCAAATATGATAGACATCAGAAATTAAAGATGCAGTTGTCAAAAGAATTTGACATGAAGGACTTAGGCCCAGCAAAGAAGATTCTTAGAATGCAAATCACGAGAGATAAGCAAAAGGGAGTTTTGCAGTTATCTCAGGCAGAGTACATCAACCGTGTTTTGCAGAGATTTAACATGGACAAGGCCAAACCAGTCAGTACACCTTTGGCCAGCCATTTTCGTTTATCCAAGGATCAGTCTCCTCAAACAAAAGAAGAAGAAGAGTTCATGGCTAAGATTCCTTATGCTTCAGTCATTGGAAGTTTGATGTACGCGATGGTCTGTACGAGGCCAGACATTGGCCATGCAGTGGGAGTTGTGAGCAGGTTTATGTCAAAACCAGGAAAAGCTCACTGGGAAGCAGTCAAATGGATTTTGAGATATCTACGAGGCACAACAGAAAAATGTTTGTACTTTAGAAAAGGAGATCTAAAGTTACAGGGCTACGTAGATGCAGACTTTGGAGGTGAAGTTGATCACCGAAGAAGCACCATCGGTTATGTTTTCACTGTCGGGGCTACAGCTGTTAGTTGGATGTCGCGGATACAAAAGATTGTTGCTCTATCCACTACAGAGGCTGAGTATGTAGCAGTGACAGAAGCCAGTAAAGAATTGATATGGCTTCAAGGATTGTTAGCAGAGTTGGGTTTCACTCAAAAAGAGAGTGTCTTGCACAGTGACAGTCAGAGTGCAATACATCTGGGAAAGAACTCAGTGTTTCACTCCAGAACTAAGCACATTGACATTCGATATCATTTCATCAGATCTCTTCTTGAGGATGAAGTGTTGACTTTGAAAAAGATTGTGGGAAGCAAGAACCCGGCAGATATGCTAACGAAGGTGGTGACCATTGACAAACTGAAGTTGTGCTCAACTTCAGTTGGCCTGCTAGGATAACAGACCGGAGAAGACTTCTGCAGTAATTGAGGTGTGAGGACAGATTGAAATCAATCCTCAAATGGGAGATTGTTGAGTCAACAAAAACTGCTGCCCACTCCATTTGACAGCAACCAAATAAGAATAAAGAAAAGAGGCAGCCATTTTTGTTGCAGCACACGGCAGTTGAAAAAGGGAAGCAACAGGGAAGCAGGCCTTTGTGGAAAAAAATGGTACAATTCCTCTCTATAAATAGAGATGGAATTCTGATGAAAAAATATACCAACACAAGAGAGAAAAAGAGAGAAAGAGAGTGAACAAGAAGCAGAAAGTTTTAGCTTCTGTGTGTATTTGTGTTGTGAGTTGTGAGTGGTTTCGAGAGTGTTTTGTAAACACGAGTAGGGCTGTAAACTAGTCGAGCCGAGCTCGAGCTTAAGGTGTTTGAGCTCGAGCTCGAGCTCTTAACGAGCCGAGCCGAGCTCGGCTCGTTAAGTAAACGAGCCAAAAATCGAGCTCGAGCTCGGCTCGTTAAGGCCTCGAGCTCGAGCCTTAACGAGCCGATCTCGACTTTTAACGAGTCGAACTATAAAAAATTATATAAATTTTACTTTTCGAGCCTTAACGAGCCTTATCGAGCCGAGCTGAGCTCGACTCGTTAACCAAACAAGCTTTAAATGAGCTCGAGCTCGACTCGTTAAGGCTTCGAACTCGAGCCGAATCGAGTCTTAACGAGCCGAGCTCGAGCCGAGCCGAGCCAGACTCGTTTAATTTAACAGCACTAAACACGAGTGTATTTCTTTTTCCCAATAAAATATCTGCAGTAGTCCGGAGACGTAGGCATTATTGGCCGAACTCCGTTATCAATTTGGTGTGTCCAATTTTTTTTTTTTATTTCACTTTTATTGATCCGACTTCATGAAAATTTCAGCGTATTTTTCCCAACAATTATTTCTTCATCTAAATTAGGACATAAATAGTTGTAGATATTACTATCGAACATTATAGAATCATACCAATTGCATCTACATCTGCACTTGCATTCAAGGTTACCACAATTTTAGGTGGGGTTTCTAAACTTAAATTTTTACATGTTTTGGATAATTGCTGTCAAATTATTTATGTGATTCTCCACACGCAATTCATGTAACCTTCGGGTTCTCTAATTCATGTAGCATGCAGGCTTGACAATTATATGACCGAGTACTTTGTGAATTATTAATTTTGACGTAAAACATGTTGGAGACTCATCGAACGTAAAATCGTCATTCATGGGTGATTATGTAATAATTTACTTCGTGGCACATTCAATTTTGAATTGACGAGCAGCGTTTTTTCAAATTATATTGATTAAAGGTGCAAAAATAAAGATCACAATCGGGCAAGTGGTACATAATTAAGGATGAAAAGTGAATAACACTAGAAATTAGGAAAGTTGAGCGAGAACGTTGTAGTGTACGATCATATATTTCGTACACGAAACATATGAACGATTACAAAATGATGAGGAAAAATAAAAGAGGCAATTAATGTGATGCTTGCTAATATTGGAAGTAGGCTAAGGGCACTTGGATTTTCCTCCGCGAGTGGTCATGCCCGCATAACAGGCGCCGCACAGTTCTTTGTATCCATAATGGCCCGGCGGAACACATTTGCATCTCATACAGCACGTTTTGCAGGCTCTCATGCAGATATTCTGCCTCGAGTGCTTTTTGCACCTTCCCGAACACGCGAGAGTGCACTCTGCGTGCACACAAACAAAAATGATCATGATTTTGTAATTTATTTTTTTATTTCGTTCAACTTTTTGGAGAGAAAAATAACATATATACATATATTTATGTTACCTTGTGGGTTTCTTGGGCGTATTGCTGAGGGAGGAGGAGGTGGGTTGGAGGGTGGTGGAGGTGTCTTGATCGCCGGTGGTGGAGGTGTCTTGATTGCCGGTGGCGGAGGTGTCTTGATCGCCGGTGGTGGAGGTGTCTTGATTGCTGGTGGCGGAGGTACGAGCTTAGGTGATGGTGGTGGTGGTGGTGGTGGTGAACTTTTATAAGTTGGAGTTGATGTGGGAGTTACAAGTGTAGTGCCCTATACACCAAGAATAAACAACAAAGACTTAGACAAACTAATTATAATTTCAAAGACTCCATATTTATCTTTGGTGCAAAATTAAGAATTGAGTCATGAATAGGTTATAGGAAATGGCTACCATTCGGTCACAGAATGATTCCGTGAGATTATTAGTCATTGATTAATTATACAGTTATTGTAAATATATAGAAATTACATGTTTATCGAATGGTTAAAAACTTTATGGAATCATTTCGCGAAGGGATTGTAGCCTTTTCCTAAGTTATATTATGCAATAAGTCAATTTTATAAAGTAAAGAATTGGGACAATTTTTGAAGAAATCCATTTTGCATAAGCCTATTTAAAGAAATTGATCGACTTTTTCAAAAGTACTTCCAAACAAGCAGTAAAATTTGATTATTACCTCGACACGAACATCTTCTGTTTCTTTTTTTGACAAAACCTACAAAAAAGTGAAAATAAAAATAAATTAAGAGTACATATAAGTGTATACTATATAGAGAACATGAAAGGCCTTGGCTCAAACCTTAGAGCTAATTAGTAGAAAAGAAGCTAGAACAACGAGTACAGATTTTATAGCCATTTTCCTAAGAAGGGAAAAGAGGATACACCAATAAAAGCAAGTAGTTATGTGAAATAATAATTGAACTGTGTAAGATAGCTACTTATAGAGAGATGATGCAAGGCCTTGCGACAAAATAATATATATGCCAGCTTCAAAGTAACTATATTTTTTTTGGGTTTTCTTTTTTTATTGGTCAAGTTGTGTACCCCCACATGCAACAGGCCTTGGTTTTGCTAAAACTATCATGTCATTTAGGGGACCACACCCAAAGCTTATTTTGTTACTAACCAAATCCGAGGCAAAGCTGTACAATAATCTCTAACCCTTCGCTCTACTCTAGAGTAGAGTAAGCCAAATTTCAAGTTTCATCTTCAGTTCTTCGCGCTACATTTTTACTCTACATCAAATATATTAATTTTTTATTCATTTTTATTTCAAACAAAATTGGTATATATATGTATATTTAATCTTATATGAATTTTTATTACCCATATAATAAAAATATGTTTATTTATAACAACATGAAACTGCTCCATAAGTTGAAACAATATGAATACACAAAATATCTGTTAAATTTTTATTCATATATTATCATTTTAATATTCAAAATTACAAAATAAAATTATACACTACAAAAAAAATTGCATTTGGCGACGCTTATTAATGACGCTTATTGGCGAGTTGTGTTGCTAAATTTGATGTCATAAAAAAATAAGCGTCAGTAAACAAAAAAATAAGCGTCGCCAAATGCAGTTTTTCTTGTAGTGATAATACATCAATAAATACAAAACATAAAATAATTTAGCATAAAAATACATTGCACACAGTTATTTAGCATAAAAATACATTTACTAATACACATTATATAAAAATTTATCATTGATATTACACTAAAATACAAAAAAAAAAAAAAATGTAGAGATGCTACAGTGTTGCGCCAGATGTAGCGCAACACTGTAGCTTTCTCTAAAATAGCGCAGGTGTTTGGCGCAGCACTGGAGGCTTATTTTGCACTATAATAGCGCATCTCTTGAGAGATAAAGCAGCACTGGGCCTGCTCTAAGCCTGTAACTCTACTCTAAATGCTACCGATTGCCTGAAATTATAAAAAACTACATAAATACCTGATACGGCCATTAGCCTCAAACGATCACGATCCGAGTTTAGTCACTGACCGCGCGTCGCAACGCGGCAAAATTAATATTTATATTTTTCCTTGACTAATCTCTACTAACTAGTAATAGTGACGAGTAAGGGTCGAACCCACAGGGAGTGTGAATCAAGTTGTGATATTCTTGTATTAATTGAATTATAAAAGCGATAAAGGGGGGATTGGATTTAATAACTAAACTAATTAAAATTCTAATGAAACAAATAAAATCTAAACAAACGAAATAAAAATAAAATAAAATAAATAAGAGAAATTTCTAGTTCACGGTTCCGTCTACACCCTCGACTGACTCGCTAAATCAACTTTGGTATCAAATCTCGTTATCTTATGAAATTACTAGCCCTAGGCAACGACACGGTCTGTTACCCGAATTTTTCCTTAAGTTTAATTTAACCGCGAGACGCTCTACGATTAAATCTGACCTCTTGAACAGTCTAGGAAACGCTTCCTAAATTTAATTCAATTAGCCGCTTTACGATTTAGAAAAATAGGCTAGACGAAGTAGCGAAATTTACATTCACTTACTTAGGTTGTGTTATCCCCGGTAGTTACCATCTTCCGGTAGCCTCTAATTGATCAAACATATCAACAATTACGGATTGACAGTTGAATCTAGCAGTAGATGTGAAAAGCCTAGTCTAGGTGATCAAGTTAAACAAGACTCAACAAATCAGGGTTAATTATTCAAAATAACACAAACAATTCCAAAAGATATTGAAACTATCAACCAGAAAATTAATCAAACATTCATCGAGTCTTAGGGTTCAACTTCCCCGGAACTAGAATAAAAACTAGCCTAACATAATAAATAAAAATAAAAAGATAAAAGAGAGAGATTAATTATCTCCCTCGTGTACGGTTGCGGTCTCCCTCCGCGATATCGGCTTCCTCGTCTTTTTCACTCTCTGTCCGCGTATGCCTATTGCGTCTTGTGTGGCGGTTGTTCTCTACTCTGTGCGTGAATATCTTTTTTTTCCCAGCTGTGCGTGGCGGCCCTTAAATAATTCCTGCCTTCGTGACTATTGCGTGAATTTACAATTAATTCCCATGAATTGGGTCGTGGCCCACAAAACTAACATATCCTCCAAACTTACGTATGTGTATATCATAGTGATAGACTTCTCTCCAATTAAGCACATGAGTGACCTTTATAATATCTCTTTTCCAAATATATTTTCTAAATCCAAGTCAGCCCACATTGGAATCACATTTTGGGCTTAGACATGTTGCACGAAAATACTTCAATATCCTAAAAATAAAACATAAAAATATCAAAGTACAAGAATCCATCTAACAAATAAATAAGTAGAAAAAAATATATAAGTGCGATAAGATTAAGCATATAAAAATACGCTAATAAATATATAAAACACACACTTTTCTCGACCAATCAGTCACAGTTATATATGGTAGGAGCTAGGCGGAGACTACCTCGGCGTGAGATAGGCAACATACTAAGAGTGATGAGTTAGGCGGATGTGATCGCCTATGCAGATAGGCAGCTAGGCATCTCAGCAGCTAGGCGCCTAGACAACTAGGCATTTCAGTAGCGAGGCATCTCGGCACCTAGGCAGCTCAGCCAGAGGGTTCTGCCGGAGGAACCAGAGCCCGGAGGTGGCTTTGCGATCAAGTCATGATGAGGTTTACAACTTCAAGGACTCTCAAAATTTGGGATCTCTTGACTTGATTAAGAGATAAACACCGAAAAGGCTTCTTGTCCCACGAGGAGTCTCCAACTTCACCTATAAAAGGGCACATGTTTATTCATTTTACACACCACATACATACGTATTATGTCGATACTCTGTCATTTTCTCTTCGAATACCACTGACTTGAGCGTCGGAGTGTTCACGCCGAGACAACTCCGACGTGTTTTGCAGGTACCGACGATCAAGGAGACACGTAAACCGGTTCGAGAAGAGCGGTCGAGCGGTTCGAGAATTTATGGTACAACATATTACCAATGAAAATTTATCGAGGGGGGATCTTTTCTGTCCAAAAATATTGCCGTTTCATTGCCAACGGATATGTATTTTTCACTAGGATTATACATACACTCCTTACAAATTATTACTATGGAATAAATTGGTTGCTAATATCATGTAAGGCACACTACCCAATTTACAACGAATCAGCAGGAAATGCACCTAATATTCATTTACCAATTAACACCAACAATTGTTGGTATCTACTAAAGATGTTCCCCATTGGTAATTAAGAAATATACTAGATTGAGGATCTGACTGCTTACGCCGAAAATCCTTCCCGACACCTTTCTTGCACGTGGTCGGCTTTAACTCCGACGATCGAAGTACTTCAACTCACCGGTTCAGGTATATCTCAATCTTGCCACATCAAATTTGTATTACAAAGCATTATATGTTTGCAAAATACGTGATACAACACCACCATTATTTTCAAGGAATGCTTGTCATCGGGAATAATTGCTTAATTCTAAGCATCATGTTAAATGGTCTTGAGAGGTATCATAATCATACACATACCACTCTCATTTAACCTCCTTTTACTTTCTCTTTCGTTATTTTTCTCTGATCACCCACTTGGAACATTATTGAATAATGGCCAACTTGTGTGGCGTATATTTACTTAGAACATCTCCAATTATTTACTCTGCTCGTGTGAAGAGTTTCTTTTACTTTGGAGTAGAGAATGCAAAAATTAACTGTCATCTCCAATCGTTCGCGCTACACTAATTTTACTCAATATGAAATATTAGTACAAAATAAAATTTAAATATAAATGTAAAATTAAAATTTTAAATTATTTAACATTATAAATAATTGTATTGATGGGTGTTTTATCAAAATAATATTTAGAAATAAATTATTATTTAATAAATTAAAATTTGAAGAAAAAATTATAGTGCGGTAAATTGTATCGCTCTACATGTAGTACAATTAGGGGTGACCAACGGTGCGGTTCAGTGAAAAACCGCACCGAATCACACAAAACCGAAAATCGAACCTAGCAAAAAAAATAATCGAACCGCACCGCAACATAGAAACAAACCGAATTAAAATCGAACTGATTTTTTTTTTACAATATAATAACCGAACCGATCCGCACCGAAATGCACGATTCGGTTCGATTTTTGGTTTTATACCAATTTTTCTATACATTTTATGCAATTTGGTGTCGTTCGGTGCAAAACCGCACCGAACCAAAACCGAAAACTGAAATCTGAAAAACTATAACCGCACCGATCGCAATGTAGGAAAAAACAAAACCGCAATCGAACCGAAATGTTTTTACATTAAAAAAATGAATCGAACCGCACTTGCATGGTCCAGTTCGTTTTTTTGGTTTCGACTCGATTTTGCTCACCCTTAAGTATAATATTATTAACATTTCCAAAGTAGTGCCAAAATGCAGCAGAATATTGAAAAAAGTATCACGGGAGAAATCTTATGTAATTTTTTATTTTTTTCTAATCTTCCTTGCATTGGGCAGAAGTTGAAATGCGTACCGTTGACAGATCTACTACGATATCCTAGACAAAAAAAGAAA